CCATCCGTTAACAACATAAAAAGTAGTTTAATTTTATACTGTTCGTCCCATTAACATAGAGGTAAAGCTTAATCAATTAGAGGTCTTAATAACACCCAAAATTAACTACTTAATCCCTCTGTGAAGTCCCAGAATTAATCAGAACAGTTCAAACCTCAAACAGTCTCAATACATTGTGTCAAAAAATTTCAAAAAAGGCAAAATTAAGAGAGCCTGCTCCATAAACTTAGGAGCAGGCTCTTTTGTGCTTGGAGTCGGCTCCATGCATCTTGGAGCCGGCTCTAAGAGTGTGGGAGCCGGCTCCCACTTCTATGGAGCCGGCTCTCTCCTCCTCTGAGAGCCTCCAGTCCAGTTTCTCTCCATTTCAGCCTATCTGCTCCGTCTCCGGCCATTCCAACCTTACTGTTCTTCCTCTAAATTGAACTTAAGGGTCTTAAATCTCATCTAGTATTAGTCCAGACCTTGGTTTATAACAGTAAGACTCAATACAAAGATTAAAGCAGTGACGACTTTTTATACTAAAAACAGATGATGAAACCATACATGCAAGAATTACTTCAGATAAATTTTCACAGACTACAGATAATCAATTTAACACTTAATAATCATGCATAGTTCAATTAATGTCCAATTAATCTCCTAGAGACTATCTAGGTGCACAGAACACAAGCCAACGGGAGAGAGGAAGAAAAGAACTTGCCTGTGATTTCAGTTATGAAATCCCGGCGTCGTCTCTAAATTTCCGACAACCACTGAATACCTTCAAGCCTCCTATAGTTCTAGTTTAATCCACAACAACACTCCCTTGGTCCTTTCTGTTTTTTTCTCCTTGACAACCCTTACAGTGCCTCCGTTCTCTCAACCCTCTGTTTTATGTGAATAGAACTCTGTTTATGTTTGTAAAATCCTAAACCACCGTAATATTATATTTATAGGTTTAGAACAATAAAAACCCTAATCCATGTATAATTAGAGACAGAGCCCTAATGTAAAACTTAGTCGGCCACAACGTGCATTCTAAAAGAAAATAAACCCTATTGTTTAACACTATTAATGTTACTAATTTAATTCATTATAATTGTTACTAATTTAATCTAATTACTCAAATTTAATCTAATACAACATTTAATTAAACTTAGTTACACATTAAAATTAATAATACTAAAGTAATCCAATCAAAGAAAATACAAAAGACACTTAAATCAAACAATTCAATTAAAGAAAAACAAGAAATCATAATTAAACAATTCAATTAATGCAATTTAAATACATAATTAAACAATTAAATCAAATAAATAATTAAAACCATTAAACAATTAAACGAATAAGCAAATAGTCATACAAAAATGCAATAAAACAATAATTAAAATGGTAAGACTATCCTTTTAAAATTAAGGGTATTGCAGTGTCAATGTTTATGGAGGATTTAATTGTTTGTTGTTTGTACTAGCAAGTTAAGTTTAATAACATGGATATATTCTTGAATAATTTAATATAATGTGCTCAGTTTATATTTCTGATTATCATTATATCATGCTTTGGATTTTAGTTGATGGCTAACTTTATCATTTATTGCATCAATTATATGGATTTTGTGGATTATATGCACCGGTATGGGACGATGGCATATTAGGTATGGATTAGATCAAAACGCTAATTCCTACCTATTCTGGATTTCAAATTGTTGAACTATTTTATCTGTTTTATCAATTATTGAATTGTTTTGTGGATTATATGCACCGGTATGGGACGGTGGCGTATTAGGTACGGATTAGATCAAAACGTTAACTCCTACCTATTCTGGATTAAGGAAACGGATTTAATTATAACATTTAAATCCTACTTATATTTCGTGTCATAGCGACGAACAGTTGAGCGGCACTACTATAGTTTTGGATGGAATTTAAAAATATAATTATGGTACAACGATATGAGCTTGAGTCTTAGAGTCAATGGTTAGGGTGCGTATATGCAGTGGGATACATAGCTGGCTATGATAGATTGAGGTATACCCTGTTAGGCTTAGGTACTCATGCCCACTTCAGGTACGTTTTGCATGTTACCTTCTATTCAGGTTGAAACCCCCTATGTAGTCCAGTGAGAGTCCTTTAGTGTGTATATATATATATATATATATATATATATTTATGGACTAGATAGTTATTGTTGAGTTATTTAGGATGTATCTGCGTATCGGGTCTCTGTTTGGATTGTAGTTAGAGAAGAACTTGTTCGTGGGCCTAACCCACTATTATTTTTCAGGTATTGGACAGTTCTAGTCTTAGAGCTTGTTCGTGCTGAACAAAGACAGTTACTCACTCTTTCGACTACGTAGGATTTCCTTTCATGGTTTTGCTTTGGATTTCATTTTAGTTATTTACTTTTAGTTGGGATTTTAATAGGGGTCCACTAGATGGATTCCCGAGTTGTACTTATATTGGAGGATTATATAATTAGTATTTCTAGGTTTTTTTAATTAGAATTCTTTTTCAGCTTATTTAATTAATTATTGTTAAATTATTTTTGTATTCTGTGTTCATTTACATACTTAATTGTTTGGTATCCCTTATATCTGTGCTCGAACTTGATCACCCGTGACTCTAGAATCGAGGGGTATTACACAAATCGCTTCCATCATGCCGCTTTCAAGATCTCATTTCCAAACTCAAGCTGGTTTCATTTAATCCACCTTGATTTTGAGGGGGACTGTTAGAATATATTATTATTATATTGTATAATATATTTTAACCTTATATAGGATTACTATATATAGGTTTACCATGTATAGGATTACCATATGTATAGTTACCATATACATATATGATTTACTTGTTCATCACACATAACTCTTCCTATATAAACCTCTCTTATATACATCTTATTTCACATCAATACAATATACAGAGTTCTCTCTTTTATATTTAACATGCTTCAACTCCATAACTTCAGATATATAACTAGTCCAACAAATGCCATCGATGCTTCTTCCATTCGTTATCAAAAAACCAATTTGCATCAAGTTCCATTCCCTTGAGTCTTGCCAATGAAAGCGCTTTACTCTCTCCCTGCACTTTGATTCCCGCACACCTACATCAAGAATCATAATTTTAAGAGCATAATCCTCAAACGAATAAAAATTTAAATGCTCTAAATAATTATGATGCCAAAATTTTCACAGAAGCATAGCACATTTATTCAGGCAATCCACACAGTGACATCAACCATCTACATGGTTCATAGCAGAATATAGCCACCACAAAGAATACCGCAACATTTTTAGCCATCAGGATTCAAAACTAAATAAACAAAACATGATTATCACAAATTCATGGATCAGAGACTACGTGGGCAATCTTGGCATTCTCTTGGATAAACATTTCATGCATGGTAACTAAAAAGGGCTTCACGCCCCATGGTATGGTATAACTTCCCCTCCTCGAGATGAGGGGAGGGGTTCGAGCCCCAAAGTATGCAAAAGTGTGAGTACTTACCTGAACATACACAGGCCCACACAAAACATTTTATACGGTACTTCCTATTAAAAAATATTTTGATATATGACAAAATTCTCCTTAACTTCTTTAGAACTAATTGGAAGATGATATGTTTTTATTTTATATTTTCTGTTAGACAACTTGAGTGACTAAATATAATATTACACATTACAACTAATATTTATAATTAGCGCATTACACATGCCGTTCTTCATTTCACATGTATTAAGTAATTACATAATTCACATAGAAAGTTTTCTGTTACAAGTGCACTTGACAATTATTATAAAAAATAAAATAAAAGAAAAAATAAATTCTAGAGTGGCTTTAAGGATCTTTTGGTTTTATGGAAATCTACAGTGGAAATAGTGAAAGAAAGTGAACTAAAGAAAAGAAAAATAAAATTTTAAGGATTCATTTGATTAACATGAAATTCATTTAATTAGCATAAAAAAAGTCATTTCATATTTTGGATAGCATGAAAACTAAAAAAAAATGTTATAATTTACCTAAATTGTCTATATTCTTGTTAACTATGGCAATAGATTTAAATAAATTTATATTTAATAAATATTTTTTATTTTTTATTTTTAAATAAAAGGAATATAAATAATAAAATTTTATAGGATACCTAAAGGGAGATATAATTATTATAATATTTTTATAAAAAAAATTATGTATAAACACATTTTATTTTAGTAAGTAAAAAGATGAGTATAATTGAAATTTTATATAGTTTTTTAAAGAAAATAAAATTTTCCTATATGTTTTTGTAGAAATGTTTTGTTATAAAATATATATATATATGTATATATATATATAATATTCAATACACCTTGCAGCCAAACACAGTATAAGGAATTTAAAGAGGATTTGAGGTGAGAGTTATTAGACCTGTCAATGGAGCGGATGTTGATCCGGATCCGATCCGATCCGTTTAGTCGGATATGGATTGAACAAAAAATCCGATAACCCGATTACGATCCGAATCTAATAATCTGTTAGCTTAACAAATCGGATATGAATTATACTGATTGGATCCGATTAAAATTATATATATAAATAATTATTTATCAATAATTTTACATATATATATATATATATATATATATATATATATATATATCAATACTCTTATTAGAATTGTATCAGAGGTAACCCAAAAATTCAAAAAAAAAAATAAAATAAATTATAATGTTATATATTCAATAGTGACCCACATCCACAAACTAATAAATTTTTTAATATACATACTAATAATATCATACTTTTTATAATTATATATGTTAGTAAATATGATTTTAATCCGAATTCGTATCTAATTCGATCCGAGTCTGAGGTAAATAGTATATGAATTGAGACATTCGAGAATTCGTTAGTGATCCGAATTTAATAATTCATTTGCTTAATAAATCGGATATGATTTTGATCGATCCAATTTGAATCCGATTTATTACCGAGAGTTATGCGGATCGACTAACCCACCCGTGAGATGTGATAAAACGAACTCAATGCGAAAGCCTATCGACCCTATCGTTCAAAACGCGACGTTTTGAACACTGCAAGGTCTACTGTGGTGTACTTAGTAAAATGCGTTTGCAGCTCTCATCATCGAACAAGGAGAAGGAGATTTTCAAGAAAGGTATAATCTATAAAACCCTTTCGCAATTGAAAATCTTATACCCAAATCCGAGTCTTGATTTGAATACGTTTGTACAAGTGTTCACGTGTGTGTATATATATATAAACACGTGTGTGTTTTTGTATATTTCAATGCGATTTTATGCTTTTTATGTAGATCTTGAAAATACAGCCGTAGAATCAACACGATTCCATGGAATTTGAAATTTTGTGTTGTCACCACTCTGAGACCTAAAATTTGTGTCGGGAATTTCTCACTCGATCTCTATATTTGAGGGTTAGTTTGTTAGCTGATGTTCAGGAATAAAGTTAACAATTTCCATTTTGTTCAAGAATTTTGGAAGATTTGTGTGCTTCGCCATTATTAGGTGTTAATTATTTGTTAATTTAGTTATTGTAAATTTTGGTGCAGATTGTGATAAATTTTTGAGCATTGGGTGATTTATGTAAAATGTTGGAGTAGAAGAGAATGGTGTTAGTACTGGCAATTGGGATCTTCACATCATTTGCACCGGTAATCTCTGTATCAAAGTACCCCACTTCTTCTTCTTATTCTCAATCTCTTGAATATTCTTTTTTGGTTAATTAGTGTTTTCTTGGGTATGCTTTCTTTCACACACACACACACACCCATATATATTTCGGGTTTAATCCTCTTAGAATTATGGTAGCTTTTTCATCAAATATAATAACTGATGCTGGAACCAGTCTCTGAATTTGGTTCACAGCACCCATGCATTTGATTTTTCTTGTCTGACTATAATTTAATCTTTGTGCCCATAAAGACAAAATCGAGCTTAAATGCCAGAAGGCATGAAATGATTGTGGTGACTTGAATTTATTTTATTATATTTTTTAAAATGTTTATTATTTTGGTAGGTGTCTCCACTACCATTTGATTGGGTTAAACTGTGCAAAAATAAATTTTGTATGGCTTGATACACACTTAGAAGTTAGAAGCACCATGGTTGTCAAGTTTGCCTCCCATATAGTGTTTATATTAAGTTTCAGTTAGAGCATGCATATGAGATGGTTTTGATAGCTACCTTTAATTTTTCACTGTTGGTTCTGTGTCTTCTGAAACAATCTTGTGTGTATTAGTTGGTATGAATACGCCCTACAACTTCTTAAATTATGTCCTCGTTAAGCATAACATTTCTTTGGGCAGTGAAGATCTCGATTCTAAAATTTAAGTTCTCCTTTAATTAGTATGAAGTGTAGATAATAGAACCATACTGACAGGAGTCATGTAGCTTTAGTTGACAAATAAGAAAAGCTTCAGTGAATTGTTTTTGTTATATATATATATATATATATATATATAGTTGATAAGGCAAGGATAAAAACCAAACTACTAGTGGATTTCACAATGTCATTACGGAGTGACATAAGAGTGATTTCCACCAAAACAACATTTTCAGTTGCTCAATAAACAAAGCCATTGTCTTTTATTTGAGATGCAATGTTTCTGTCCTTTACTCCCCACGTGAAGCCTCCCATCTCTCTCTCACACACACATTAGGATGGCACAAAACATCTTGAGACATTCACAAATTTAATGTATCAATTGAACAGATGAACATCTTGATTTATTAGATGCCGTAATAGGAATGCATAAAGTCAAATCCAGCAAGCAAGAAATTAACCCTATCACTTTGTATTTTGCAGTGACTAATACAAAGATTACAGGATTAATTGATGAAATATGTATCTGGATTCATTAGCTCTGACAGTGAGATTTTTTGCAGTGGTTTAGCAAGTGAGTACCTGCTAGCGAGAAACTCCTGAGAGATGCGTAGCATTGTCGGCCGAGACTTTGGTTCAGGATGTAAGCAAGCAAATGCCAATGTAGCAACCAGAACAACATCCCGTGCAACCACTCCGCGTGCTGGAGCTTGGAGGCGTGCGTCTAACACATCATTTAACATTATATTTTGAGTTGATGTTGATGCTAATGATTGGAGAAGTTCTCCTGGATGCCTTCCCATGAGTGTTTCTAGTGCCACAACTCCGAAGCTATAAACATCACATTTTTCAGTCACAACCATGGTGAAGGCAAGTTCTGCATCAACAAAAAGAATTATGCAAGTGATGCATCAACAAGAAATATACATGTAAGAGGAAACCAACTTTTACTTTATCCTTTGCAGTAAGAAAAAAATAAATAAATAAATAACGAGATTGTTTCAAAATTAAATATTATGGAATTTGTCCATCAATTTGTTTCATCCATAGTGAAGCAGTTACAGACACATTTAATTGTTTTTCCTTATGATTTTGTACAGATAGTGAGATTTGATTTTGTACAGATGGTGAGATTTTTTGAATTTTTCCTTATGATTTTGTTGGAAAATGTAGAGAGGGTAAAACCAGAGTCTCTTCCATACTCAGAGATCCTTCAACTAAAAAGTCCTAAAATGACTTGCATCTAGTAGAAAGAGTAAATCATTCTTGGAATAGAAAACATTTTACCAACTAAAACAATTTTGCTGTTAAATTGTAACCAAAAACTTAAAAAAAAAAAAAAAATGCTATAATACGCAATTTTGTTAATTATATTCCCTTTTTATTAGACGGAAAGAATGGTAGATATAGTTAACATTAAGGAATAAAGAGCAGTGTTGTACCTGGAGCAACATATCCATAAGTGCCTACTATCACGGTATGATTAGACGAATCAGGATCCAGCAATCTAGCAGTGCCAAAGTCAGCCACACAAGCTTTGGATTCTGAATCTAATAGAATGTTGTTGCTCGAAATGTCACGGTGAAGAATGGGTGGAGTGCAATCATGGTGCATGTAAGACAAAGCATGGGCAATGCCTTTCACTACATTCACCCTTTGAGTCCATTCCAACTCCATAGCTTCCACTTCACTTGTCAAGACCAAAAAAAGGCTTCCCCTCTCCATGTACTCATACACCAGGAACATGCATTGCTTGTGTAGACAAAACCCATAGAGTTTCACAATGTTCCGATGTCGTATTTGTGATAGAAAGTGTGCTTCGTTCCTGAAACTTTTATCGTAAGCTGGCACTTCGCCTTCCAGGCGATGGAGTTTCTTCAAGGCAACTACTTTCCCACTGGGCAGTTGTGCTCTGTAAACACTCCCATATCCTCCGGTCCCAATGCAGTATCTGATGTCAAAGTCCTCCGTTGCTTTGATTATATCTTCGAATGCAATTGTCCCGTCATAATTCCATATCGAGAACAAATCTCCATGCTTTGTTACTCTGGACTGAGACTGGGTTTTCTTAACCTTGCGTTTTGAGTAGTAAAAATATCCTAGAATTATGGAGACAATGAAAATTGCAATTGGAAGAAAAATTGCAATTATTTTCTTGAAAGATGATGGATGGCAAGAAACAGAAGAAGATTTTTCATACCATGAATCAATATTCTCAAGAAAATGATTGCCACCCAAGCGGATGGATATTTTGCATGTAAGAGATGGGGGAAATGGAATGATGCCAGAGAAGTTATTGGCTGAGAGATCTAGGTCTGATAGCGAAGGAAGCTTAGCTATCTGAGGCGGAATGCTGCCATTCAAGCTGTTGCCCCACAATTTCAAGTGTTTCAAATTAGCCCAATTCCTAATATGAGTTGGGATTGGTATGGAGCCAGTGAGTTGGTTGAAGGAAATGTTGAGATATGTGAGTTCAGATAATTTGGTAAGGTGTTGAGGTAGGGAACCCTGTATGTTGTTATAGGAAAGGTCTAGTGCAATCAAGCCTTTCATATTCCCGATACCATCAGGTACGGAACCATTGAGTTGGTTGTGACCAAGGTTTATCTCAATCAGATTGGGTAAGTGGGCAAGAGCCGTTGGGATTGTTCCTTGGAGACGGTTGTGACTGAGGTCAAGATAAATCAAATTCTTTAGATTCCCTATTTCTGGAGGGATGGAACCATATATAATATCGTTCCGAGAAATGTCAAGCTCTACTAATTCAGTCAGATTAGTCAGCCAAAGAGGTAGCTTGCCATAAAGATGATTAGAGGACAAATTGAGGTACTTGAGTTTTAAAAGTGTACCTATTTGATCTGGCACACTCGACTCAGAGAGTGTATAATTATACAACATATTGCAGCTGAGGTCAAGTCGGACCAGGTTTGGGAAGGAAGAGAAGTTAAATTCCCCCAATTTATCTTCCAATGTATTCCAGTGAGGTAGGTTAATCTGGATGACACTTCCAGCCTCATCGCAAACTATACCAGTCCATTTACAATGATCATCTGACGTGTTTAACCACCACCCACTATTATGCAGAGCTTCTAGTTCCAATTCTCTTGACGATGCCGATGATGTGGACCCTGCCACCACATAAGGTATAGAGATAGTAAAAATAATATTAGTAGCATAGTAAAAGAGTGAGACAGACCATATAACAAACAATAGATTATTGGTATTGGTATTGGAATTGGAATTGGAATTGGAGGATAACATGATTCTAAGTTTTATTTGATCGGATTCAATTGCATGCAACAGATGGGCTTATAATCATCATCATGCTCAAGAGACTTAAAAAGACTTGTGTGGAGGAGACTTGGACACCGGAGTCAAGGTCTTTTTTTTTTTTTTTTAGTTATAGCAATTGTAATTTTATTTTTTTAAATTTATTTATATATAGATGGATTTTTAATAAATTTTAATTATTTTTATTGAATTTTTAAAGAACACCCATAATAATACAAAATGATATAACACAAGTTGACTTAGACACTGGTGTCGAGGTCTTCCTTTTTTTCAATCCTATTTTTTTCGAAATTTGCACTATAGTCGCAGTTGTGGTCCGGATATAACAAAATCAAATCAATGTAAGCTAACAAAATTAATTATTCTAATTGTGAATTTATTTTTCTTAATCGATTTTTAATAAATTTATTGATTTTTTAAAGAACAGGAGTAATAATGCAAGTTGACGTAGACCACCGGAGTCAAACTCTTTTCATTAGGAAGGGAAATTATTTTCTTCTCTCTCTCCCTTTTCTTTATTCATTTTTGTTTTATTTATTTTGGGTTGTAGGTAATATGCATTTCCATTTTTTGTTTTTTTTCCCACAATAATAACTGTTTTTCTTTCTTTTCAAAATTTTTAGGAAGCCACAATAATAACTGTTTTTCTTCTTTTCAAAATTTTTAGGAAGCCCCTTACATGGAAATTTTCAAATTTACACTATAATTTCTTTTAGTTGGAAAAAAAATGTGTTCGAATTCACGAATAACTAGAAGAAAATTTGACAAGTTCAGATTGTTTTTAGTCCAAATATAGATAAATAACTCATAAGAACTTGAAAAACAAACAGTAATTTTAAGAAGACGACTGATAATCACAACAACCCAAACGAACCAAAATATTTTATTAAATTCGGTTCTTTTCTTAAATTTTTTCCCCTCGTGTATTGATTTCAACACAATTGTCAGTTAAACGAATTTTGCGACTAATTTGGTTTGTTTGTTTTTTTTTTTCAAACAGAAAACTGAATCAAAAGGCCGGTACATTTTACTTTAATTTAGGAGCTGATTTTGGGATGGCCATTTTTGGTGAGGTTTTCCTGAGTTTGTCGACCTTCCATCCTTGTCAATTAACTCCAATAATATAAATATTTATTATATATGAAGGTGATGAATAATGTCTTCAAATCCTTTTTTTTATTGGACTATTTCTTAGAGTTCTTCTGCTATAAAAAATAATATTATAGAAATTAGGTTTGAAATCTCAATAGTTTAAATTTATGAGAAAAATAGGTTTTTGGGGATGGTTCTGTTGTTAAGAAATTCATTCAAAACACATTTAGTAATTTTTATGTGAATCAAGCTTACGGGTTGAAGTCACAATAAGCTAAAACGTTGTAATACGATCCTTTTCAAATTATATTTGCTTTGTGACCTTCTCGGCAATTACATTTTTGAAAAGAGAGTAAGAACATTTGTTTGGTTTTATTTTTTTTAAAATTGACTTTTTTATTTACTATTTGATTATAATTGAAAAATAATAAAATAACACTTTTAATTTTTCTATTGGAGTATAATGAATATTTTTTTATTTTATTTATTATTTGACTATAATTGAAAAATAATATAATAATATCTTATTTACTATTCAAGTATAATTGAAAATTAATAAATAATATTTTTAGTTTTATTATTCGAGCATAATAATTTTTTTAAAATTTTATTTATTATTTGAGTATAATTGAAAAATAATAAAATAACATTTTTGATTTTACTATTCGAGTATAATAAAATAAATTTTTAATTTTATTTACTATTTGAGTATAGCTGAAAATTAATAAAATAGTAAAATAACATTTTTAATTTTACTATTAGAGTATAATAAAAGATATTTTTTTAAAAATTTTATTTACTACTTGAGTACAATTTTAAAATAATAAAATAACATTTCTCTGATTGTGAAAATTAATAAAATAAGAAAATAACATTTCTCTAATTGTGAAAAATAATAAAATTAAATTTCTTTAATTCTCATTTGAAAAAATAATAAAATAACAGTATTTCAAAATCAAAACTCATATTTGTAGAGTTGAGAATTGTGAAGGAAACATAAAAAGAGTTTTTAAAAGTTTCCAAATATGAAAAGTCAAAATAGAATTACCAGAGAAAATAAAATAAAATAAAATAAAAACAGGCCTCCAATTGGTTGTGGTGAAATTTTCTCCACGGCAAACTTGCTAGACCAGGTATCTTCCGTCGAAGTCAAGATGAGATTGATGTATTAACGTATTTGATAGTTCCACTTAGAAATTTTGAGAGTTTTATCTTCCGTCGAAGTCAAGATAAGATTAATGTATTAACGTATTTGATGGTTCCACTTAATTTTGGGGGGTTTAAAACTTTGGTTAAATGGTCTTCGTCTCCACTAATTAGGTCCACACACACAGCCAAAGGAAGTCAAGCCAGAGACTTTTGGCTCCCTCTAAGACTAATTTCTGCCTTGTTTATTTTCTGCTAAACTTTGTGGGTTTTGTCATCACCAATGTGACTGATCATTCAAAGTTGTAGTACCAGTGGTCAAGCTTTTGATTTTCACTAAATAACTAATTATAAGAGAAATAATATGTATACTATTTTCTACCAAAATACACTACTTTTATGATTTTATTCCATAAATTAAATTTTTTGCTTGCAGCAATTGCCACATCAATACATATGTTTTTCAAATTTTTTAACCTTTTTTTTTTTGGAATGTTGAACATTTTCATATACATGAAAAAAATGACACAATATAATATCCCTAATTTTAAGAGGATAGTCTTGAGATTTATTTAATTATTTTATTTATTATTTGATTACGTGGCTAATTGTTTATGTGTTTTAATTGAATTATTTGTTTATTTTAATTGTGTGCTTAAATGGTGTATTTTTAATTAATTGTTGTATAAAATTGATTGTTTAAATGCTATACGATTTTGTGTAATTATTTAGGAATTTAATGTTTATTTTATTTTATGTTTTTTAAAGGATATAAATTTGGATAGTAGTAATGGACCAATCCAATGGGTTGTATGGACTATTTGGATAGAAGTTTTTATCGGTATGAATATTTATCCATGGATAGTGGTCTATATATATATATGGGTATATATGTATATAAAGATAATTTTACTATTATTATTAGGATTAAATGCAAAAAACCCCCTAAACTATTGTGGTTTTGCAAGAAACCCCTCTGAACTACAAGAAACCCCTCTGAACTATTATTTTGTTGCAATTCACCCCATCAGGTCAACGGAAAAGGCAAAAGGTAATTTCGCCCTTTAACACAGTTTCAAATATTGTCACTTGAAGTTGCTTAGTTGTAAAGTGAATTCTAAGGGCCAATAAAAATTCAACAACACACCTTTAAGAGATAAGGTTGACTAAATGATGTGGCCCATTGTAATGTGAAAACCGCTTAAAGTTTGACATGTCATCAACCTTTACAAAGCTTTGTAAATCCCTCTCGCAACCACTAAAACCCTACCCATGAAAATTTCTCTTGCTGCAAAGTTTAGATGCTCTAAATAATTATGATGCCAAAATTTTCACAAAAGACTACCGCATAGCACATTTATTCACGCAATTCACACAATCACAGCAATCATCTATATGGTTCATAGCAGAATATAGCCACCACAAAGAATATCGTAACATTTTTAGCCATCAGGATTCAAAACTAAATAAACGAAACATAATTATGACAAATTCATGGATCAGAGAATACGTGGGCAATCTTGGCATTCTCTTGGACAACCATTTCACGCATAGTAACCAAAAAGGGCTTCAAGCCCAATGGTATGGTATAACTTCCCCTCCTCAAGATGAGGGGAGGGGTTCGAGCCCTGGAATATGCAAAAGTGTGAGTACTTACCTGAACATACACAAGCCCACACAAAACATTTTTTACAGTACTTCCTATTAGAAAATATTTTGATATATGACAAAATTCTCTATAACTTCTTTAGAACTAATTGGAAGATGATATGTTTTTATTTTATATTTTCTGTTAGACAATTTGAGTGACTAAATATAATATTACACATTACAACTAATATTTATAATTAGCGCGTTACACATGCAATTCTTCATTTCACGTGCATTAAGTAATTACATAATTCACATAGAAAGTTTTCTGTTACAAGTGCACTTGACAATTATTATAAAAAATAAAATAAAGTAAAAAATAAATTCTAGAGTGGGTTAAGGATCTTTTGGTTTTATGGAAATTTACAGTGGAAATAGTGTAAGAAAGTGAACTAAAGAAAAGAAAAATAAAATTTTAAGGATTCATTTGATTAGCATGAAATTCATTTAATTAGCATAAAAAATCTCATTTCATATTTTGGACAGCATGAAAACAAATAAAAAATGTTATAATTTACCTAAATTGTCTATATTCTTGTTAAATATGACAATAGATTTAAATAGATTTATAATTAATAAATATTTTTTTAAAAAATATAAGGAATATAAATAATAAAATTTAATAGGATACATAAAGAGAGATATAATTATTATAATATTTTTATAAAAAAATTATGCATAAACACATTTTATTTTAGTAAGTAAAAAGATGAGTATAATTGAAATTTTATATAAATTTTTAAAGAAAATAAAATTTTCCTATATGTTTTTGTAGAAATATTTTGTTAATATATATATATTCAATAAATCTTGCTGCCAAACACAGAGTAAGGAATTTAAGAAGGATTTGAGGCGAGAGTTATGCCAATCGACTAACCCACCGGAGAGATGTAATAAAGCGAGCGCAATGCGAAAGCCTATCAGGTCAAGGTGCGTTCTATTAGTAAAATGCGTTTGTAGCTCTCATCATCGAACAAGGAGATTTTCAAGAAACGCATAATTTAAAAAACCCTTTCGCAATTGAAAATCTTATTCTCAATCTCTTGAATATTCTTTTTTGGTTAATTAGTGTTTTCTTGATTGTGTATGTTTTTTTTATTTTTTATTTTTTTTATTTTTATTATTATTTTTTTTTTATCAAATATAATAACTAATGCTGGAACTA